TGTAGAGGTGTCAGACAAGGAGGATACAATCACACCCAAACTATTTACTTTGGCGTTGGAAGACATTTTTAAATCTATAGACTGGGATAATAAAGGGATTTATATAAACGAAAAATATTTAAATCATCGAAGATTCGCCGATGATGTACTCCTGATAGCAGCAACTATGGAACAACTACGAATAATGATTTCAGACCTAGAAAAAACATCTCTTAAGAAAGGACTAAAAATGAATCTAAAGAAAACTAAAATAATGACTAATACAGAAGACAGATCAGTAATTACCACAGTTGGAACAAACTTAGAACACGTCCAAGAATATATTTACTTGGGACAAGCAATCAGAGCAGACAAAAGTAACCAGACTAAAAAAAATAACCAGAAGAATAAGAATGGAGTAGCCTACATTCAGAAAACTCTCACATACTATCAAAAATAAAAAAATGCCTTTGAAATTAAGAACGAAGGTATTTAATGCATGCGTCCTACCTATTCTGACATATGGTGCCCAGACGTGGACATGTACAAAGAGCAACTTAGATAGAATAAAGAAAACTCATAGAGCTATGGAAAGACAAATGTTGGGAATATCGTTGAGAGATAAAAAGAGATAGAAAGAGAAGAAAATAGAGGAACGAGTGGATAAGATGCAAAACCGAAACAACAGACGCTGTTCGAACATGCATTAAAATTAAAATGTCAATGGGCTGGCCATAACGAAAGATATCAGGATGGATAATATGAAATGAAGAAATTGGCCGCTGGTGACCATATGCTGAAAAAAGGTCAAGAGGTCGACCGCAAATGAGATGGAAAGATGACAGTGAGCAAAGCGCAGGTCCAATGTGGAAAGGATAAACAGAAGACAGAGACAAATGGAGACAAATGACAGCACATGACAACACATGAACATATTTTGGGCTATAGATAGATAGATAGATATTTTGTTTTGCCCTTAAACTATAACCTGCCGTATTGGCTTTAAATTAATAATATAATGGTTTTTGACTACCCTGAAACTCATTATGTATAAATAAACTTGACAAATAATCGGATGCTACTAGAAAATGGAGTTACGGGATTTAAAATTTCTTTGAGCATGCAAAAGTTCTTAGTAAAAACGTGTTTTTTTTACGTGGTTCTTACTACGTAAAATTAACAAGAAAACTGAAGATGCTATTTTAGTTAAGAAAAATTAAAGGCAAAATAAAATGTTATTTAATTTTATTTCAATCAAAATACACAGTAAGTAAAATTACTTATTCGGATTTGACAATGGAAGATTCTGCCAAAAATGTCGTCGATTTTCAGACATAACTTCATTTAGGTTTTTTAGAATGCTTTCCTTTTTAGTTTTTGTTATTCCACATGGAGCGCTCATGGGGTCCGGTACAGCATTAAAGCCATTTTTCTTTACTTTTATTTGCAAAAAGTATAACTCTTGCATATCTTCTTTATAATCCGTTTGAACTTTTAATGTAAAAGCTCCTTATTCAACTATAATTTTTGTTATCTGAGAAAGATAGATTCGTGGAAAGATCTTCTTTATTTTTGATTGCAATGAAAAATTGTTCCATTCACGGAAATCAGACACCATCATTTCTTTGACATCTACGTGTCCAGAGTTGTATTTTTTTACAGCTTCCGCAAAATCATAAAAGTCATACACTTTTTTCATCCTTTTTAGAGAAAGTTCTAGCTGGCGATGAAAACTATTTGAGGACATGAAGCTATGTCCAGGTTTAAAGTAATTAATTCCAATATCTTTTGCGGATAGCTTGTTCGAATTTATTATATAGAGTGGCCCAAAAGTCTTCTTCTTCTTTAAGTTCCATCTTCTATCGAAGGTTGGAAATCATCATGGCTATGCGGACTCTGTTGACTGCCGCTCTAAAAAGTTCTGCACTACTGCATTCAAACCATTCCTCAAGTTCTTAAGCCAGGATATTCTTCGTCTTCCCACATTTCGCTTTCCTCGGATTTTGCCCTGTATAATTAGTTGTAATAATGCGTATTTTTGCCCTCTCATCGCATGTCAAAAGTACTCAAGTTTTCGTCTTTTAATAGTTAATATTATTTCCGCCTCATTTCCTATCCTTCTAGTTACTTCCATGTTTGACATTCTTTGAGTCCATGATATTCGTAGGATTTTTCTGTAACACCAAAATTCAAAGGCGGCCAACTTATTCAGATGAACTTGTTTTAGTATCCAAGCTTCCAGACCATAAAGAAGAGTAGAGAACACGTAACATCGAAGCATTCTCAGGCGTAGTTCTAACCTTATATCCCGACAACAAAGAAACTTTTTAAGTTTAATAAATGATGTACGTGCTATTTCAATACGTGTCTTAATTTCTTTGGTTTGGTCTACATCTGATGTTATCCATGTTCCTAAGTATTTATAGTTATTAACACTCTCAATTGCAGTATCTTCTATAGTCAATTGGATATTTGCATGTGCAGATTTAGTCATGATCATGCATTTAGTTTTCTTTAAATTTATCTTCAGTCCGTACTCATGACAGCGTTCATTAAGGCGTTGTCATAAATAACTGACCATACATTTAATTTTTGTGGTCTTTGAGTATCTTTTTCACGCATTCAGTGTGAATTTCACACGAGTTCAGCTATTCAATACGAGTTCAACCATATGTTCACTTGATTTTATGTAGTCTGAAAGATCTTAAATACATAAAACAGTGCAAAATATGTAGATTTTAATAAATTTAAATATTTAAAGGGAGAATGCTGTGATTTTGACATTTATTCACCATTTAAATTATGAACTAAAATTGACAGTAGTTGTGGTTCAAAAAGTTGTGCAATTTAAATTGCTTCTCTAAAATGCCGTTCTCTAAACCGTTCTCCGATTCATAAGACGACGGTACAAAAAACTGTAAGGCGATTTGAGGAATCTGGAGAAGTAAAAGATAGATACCGATCAGGTTGACCGAAACGAGTTATCAATGACAACAAAACTTCACATATAAGCAAAGTTTTGTTGAAGATCCACATACATCCCCAGGCAGGGTTGCACAAGTACATGATGTAGGTCATTCTTCAGTCTTACGTTTATTACGTAAAAATAAATTTAAATCATACAAAACTAACTTATTGCAAGAATTAAGTAAAGATGACTTTGGTTGTAGATTAGAGTTTACTGAGGTAATGATGGATAAAATTGAAAATTATTAAAATTTCGTTAAAAGAATATGTTTTTCCGATGAAGCAACTTTTACACTGTGTGGAAGTGTAAATTGACACAATTTAAGGTACTGGTGTGACGTAAATTCACACTAAAGACTGAATGCTTGAAAACCATACTCAAAGACCACAAAAATTAAATGTATGGTCAGATATAGTAGTTACTTATTCAATTGGGTAATTTTTTGTCGAAAGAAATTTAACGTCAGGTAGTTGGTGTAAATGTTCGGCGATATTTAGATGAGATATTTCCTGGACGATAAACTGGTAGACAAGGTAGAATTAAATGGCCTCCACGTTCACCCGATTTCAATCTTAAAGATTATTTTTATTAGGTATACTTGAAAAATTCAGTTTACAAAACTTAACCAGCAAGTCTTGCAGAGCTAAGGCAACGAATTATCAATGAATCTCAAATAATTTCTAGACAATCATGGAGAAATGTGGTAGACGCCTTCTACCATCGATTAGGATGCTGTCAACTCACAAATTGAGCACATTTTGAACACTTAGTAACGTTACTACTATGTTAAAAAATGTTCTAAACTATCAATTGTTACATTTTAATGTATTTGAAAATAGTTTAGTATTAAAACATTTATTGAAACAATTTAGGCGTTGCCAGTATCGGTTTTATGTATTTTTGACCTTCCAGATTACATAAAATCATAAGTGTTACATATGGTTAAAGTCGTATTGAATAGGAGATTCCAATAATGACTGAATATACAGGATGATGTATTTGAAAAACCAAAGTTACTAATAATATAAGAAAAATGGCAAATCTGGCAACATTGTAAATATCAAATATGGAATCTCCGTATCCCAAAATAGGTGTACCTAAAATTTTGTACAATTATGATTAGCATTTTACAAGAAAGACAAAAAGGATTTTTTTTCTGAGAGGAATAGTTATGTAACCAAAATATAAAGTATTAAGCATCCCGGTAAACAAATGCATAAAATGTGCTGATTAAATCTTCTTCTGACCTCCCAGATATGGCTTCATGCCATAAGGCTGCATATGGTTTTCTAGACCTAGATTTATCCAAGAGCACAAAACTTTCGTTATACATATACGACAATAAATTCTTTGAGTAAATATCACTTTTTTGAACATGTCGATTCGTGGAAGCATAATTACTTTTTTAAGGTCTGCCTAGACTTTTATCGTATCTTAAGGTCTCAATAAGTGTGTTAGAAATATTACTGCATTGCAAACCAGTTATGTTTTCTGCATCTGTAAGTAAAACATATATTGTTGAGAATAATTCATTTTTATTTATTGTATTTTTAATATTACTATCTAAAACATTATCTGGTTTTGACGATATTGCATCAGTATCACTTTGTTGCTGCTCAGAAGGTTGCATATCATTGTGTTCCATTCCATCAATGTTATCGGAATGTGTACAGTCTGCTTTTAGAGTACTTTCATACACTTATAACTTGTTAATGTCAGACAGAAGAAACTCGTTCCGTACTATATATTCGTTGCAAGTAGACCTAAGCTAGACCTCTAGACCCTTTTGGACCACTATACCACTAAATAATATACAGGGACAATATATATTTCATTAACAAGTAAACAGACGATGGAATGAAAAAACCTTAAGCGTCAACATATCTGCGGGAGAGCCAAAAAGCCGATATTATTCTATATTAAAAAATTTATCAACAGATCTTCATTTTCACTGTATGTATCTTCACTGAATTTTTATTTTATTCCTAATATTACGTCGCTGTTGTCGTATTTTTTGGTAAGTCAATAAAAATAACTGTACATTACGTAATGTTTATTATAAATATTTATTTTTAATCAAAAACCTTAATAAAATTTTTATTCTCCTACTGTACTCTTCTAACTGTATTGAATTGGAATCTCCAGATTTTTCAGCAGATGCTACATGATCAGGCACCCACTCAGTTACCATTAACTTTATAGTTAAAAGCGCCATAAAAAAGCCTGATAAGATACTTTTCTCTAAATGATTTTGAAACCTCGACAAAGGAAACACTTCGTCAGGATCCAAATTAAAATTACGAAGCTGCAAAGTCAGTTTGTCTTGATATATTTTTAGGTAGGTGTCAAAATTATCTAGAATTTCTTCTGAGCCATTTGCCAAAAGAAAATATGAAATATCTGTACAAGGACTTCCAAAAGAAGACATTTGCCAGTCAACAATACGTAAACTTTGGGGTGTTGTTTTATCGGTTGGATCCTGAAATGAAATAAGTAAATAAATAATTTAAAAATTATCGAATATATAGATATATATATATATATATATATATATATATATATATATATATATATATATATCTATATATGAAGCAATAAGAAATCAGAAGACTTTTCTTTAATAGCGAAATAGGTGATCCGCAAATCCAAAACTTACTGAAAGTTATTGTACGATGCTTGGAATATACGTTTTTTCAGACGGCCAATAATATTGAATTTTATTTTAGTTTGAACAGCAACAAGTGTTTCTAATAAGAATTAAATATCTCGAAAAACCCTGTAGAATAATAAATAATTGTTGTAAAATTGAAAAAAAAAATGCAATGGTCTATTTCATTTTAATGTCTTTTCTATACGTAAAGAGTGCAAAAGATTTTTTCAATGGTGAACTGTAGATGTATTTTAGTATTAAAAGTTTATTCCTAGGAACCTCCAATAACTTTTAGTAACTTTTGGATTTGCAGTTCACCTATTTCGCTATCGAAGAGAAGTCAACTGACTCATTGTTTCGTATAGAGATCGCTGATAGCTTACTCAGGCATGTTATTTTACTATAACAGTCAAACTAGATTGCATTTTACTTTAGTCTGAACGAATATAGGATAGAGTCCTAGAGTTTAATAACATCAAACAGGAACCACTCAGTAACAGCACTACGTAAGAGGAAGTAGAAATACACATGAGAAGGTTAAAAAATATAACTTAAGATAAAAGAACAAAATAAGGGAAGAGAACAGAGCCAAACAGAGAGCCAGACGAACAAGAATTCAGTTGGATAAAAACAGGGCAAACCAGCTAAATAGAGTTAAAACAGCACTACAAGAACACCGTAGTCGAAACTGGGATAACCACGTCCAAGATATGGAAGAGCAAGGCTCAAATATGCAAAATATTTAAAAGCTTTAAAAAATACTTACAATTGACAGATAACTTACTTCCGCAATACACGACGAGAATACAATTGTCTAATCCTTTGAGGAAAAAGCTGCTAAAGTGATGATGACGACTGTCAACAGAGAGTGTACACTAAATTATCACCCAGATGTATGTAAATAAATAATTGATAGATGAAGATATAGATTTCATAGAAGAAATCGAAGAACAACGAGGCAGGCCCGAGGAACCTACTAAAATCATCTCTTTAACATCGCTAGAAGAGATAAACGAATTAATCAACAACACTTCACCAAGAAAAGCACCTGCACCAGACCAAATCACAAATAGGGCTCTAAAATACCCACCGATCAGAGCCATAGTATTTCTGAAAAATATAGTCAATATGATGCTAAGGTGTAGGTTCTTTCCGAATCAATGAAAGAAGACCCATGCCATAATCATACCAAATCTAGGAAAGAAGAGCAAGTTCCCGCAAAACTACAGGTTTGCCGATAAGCTTACTGCCGGCAATTATCAAGATCGTAAAGAGTGTTATTCTCAATAGACTCCAAGCTAAAACTAATAGGCTAATAATATTACCAGAAGCACAATTTAGATTCTGGTCAAAACACTCCAGTGAGCTACAAGTACTTAGACTAACTGAGTACGTAGCAGCTGATTCAACGACAAACAATACACAGAAGCAGCCTTCCTGGACGTAAGCAAAGTTTTCGATAGAGTCTGACATAAAGGGCTAATCTACAAAATGAGAGACTATGGATAAAGTGGAGGCTGAAATATCATAGCCGGTATTTTAGGATCACCAGAAACTTTACTTAGCCTTTATGCCGATAATAAAGCGATAGCGCTGAAACACAGAGATGTAGATTATGTAGTAAATAACCTATAAACAGAATTTAAAAACATTTAAAAATAAAGTAAACAATGGAAAATCGCCATAAACTCCAAAAACACGCAAGCGGTGCTCTTCAGAAAGATACATCAATAGCCAGAGGAATTGACAGTGCAAAACAAATTCATCGAATGGAAAATAGTAGAAAAATACCTAAGAGTCACATATATAAATCTAGTGCTGGACTAGATCATATCGTTCACATTATTCCACTCATTTAAAAGCTGTGTGATTGGTAAAATTATAGTGGTCAATGCAACGTGTAATCAAGCAATGGATTGGCCATTTACACTGTTCCAGTGGTACTGGAATGGTTGAAGTGAAATGAAAAATAAAACGTCATTCCAATGAACTGGACTGGATTGATCACTAATGCTACATTTTATTCTATTTTCAAATTATTTTAGTGGCATTCCATCCCTAGATAGGAATAATGTGAACCGATCTTCATGGTTGCTTAGCAGCACATGTAAGCAAATGAAGGCTGCGGAAAAGAACCTTTGTTAGGACTTGGAAAACAACAGCATTTAATTTTAATTTCACATTGTTTATATGCATCCACAAAGAGCACTGCATTCATGATATATAAGTTAAAATACGATAATTATACCGAATTTATTATTAAAAAATTAGTACATATTATTTTAGAATTTAAATTAGAAAAAAAAAATAAATCGTTACCTGATATTTAAACATAAAATTGTTACACCAACAGTCGCCATGTGTTACGACAACTTTGTATTCTGGTTCTTGTAATTGGGACAGAGCTTCAGGCAATGAATTCTGCTCATACTTTTTTAAATATTCTGTCAAATCCGGATCATCCTCTAAAGCTTTGAAACTATCAGATAAAGAATGAGTAAGAAATGCTTTCATACGTTCGACTTTTTCGTTGCCTCCTTGGTAAGTGATCTCATATGGATTACGTGGACCACGTTCTGTCAAATCTTTAAATAATTCCGGATTTTTGTATTTCATTGCTAATGCAACTGCATGAAATTTAGCATACTCAATGAGTACTGCTTTTGTATGTCCTGAATTTATTGGGATTTTTTTGTTCCACAGCTGATATTGTTGTGTTTTTAAATTCTCCATAACTAAGCCTTCAAGTTCATCTTCAGTAAAACTTAAATAAAATTTGGGCACGCTTTCGAATCGATCTATAAAAAACAAATATAAAACTTATTAAAAAAATGGGTATATTTCTAGTAATGGCAAAGGAACATTGAGAAAAACAAATAAATACTTAGAATAGCTCTAAACGAAGCAAAAAAGAATAAGAAAATACTCTCGAGTATTGCATATAGGTTAATAATATCCAGTAGTTGGAGATTTTAATACTAAAAGCGAGACAAGCAAGCTGAATTTTGCTAAGAATGTCAATTTTTTGACCCCAAAAAAGATGTAAAAAGTTTGCCACTACTAACCCCAGACTTTCCCCAAAACTATTCCTCGTAGGGGTGAGGGGAAGGGGAACACGAAAAACATTGATTTATCAAGAATCTTGTACACCGAAGAAAAAAATGTATATAAGCTATTTTATAAAAAAAACGTTTTTCGTCACTTTGTGTGAACAATAAACTTTTAAGCCAGCCACTCACGATACAGCGGCGTTGTTCAACTTCGTCGAGTTCGACGAATTGACAAGGATTTTGATCGTGTGTGACCGTGCATCCAACGAAATCGTACAATTTGACCGCAGACAGACTGGCCTGTCTGCTGCAGTACTGCAGAGTTGATCTCGTCAATTTGTTGAGCGTGTGTGGCCGTTTACAATTTGTTGATACTGCAAAAATACAATTTTAACTACACACTTGCTTTGATCATATAGAAAATCGACATAGCTTGATTTAGTGAGAATTTTTAAGAGTTTTTTGAATTATATAAAGAACAGAATGTTATGGCGAATTAAAGGTAAAACGTATCACGATAGAAACGCCCTAAAACGTGCAATGGACATTCTAATTTTAAAGTTCCAAGAAGTAAACAAAGATGCGAATGAAGAATATGTAACAAAAAAAAATAACAATTTTAGAACATGCTGTAAAAGAGAATTAAAATTAGTATTGCAGTCAAGTAAATCAGCTGCAGAAACAGACGAGATTTATTTTGGACCAAAATCTTGCATTCTTTGCACCAAAATCTGCTTTTCATTTTAGGTTTCTTTTTACGATTAGTTATACACAAAGCAAGAGACGCTAAAATGGTTGTTTGATTTGTCACGGTCGAGAACCAAACAAATACTGCGGCGCAGTGCGGTGTGTGGGTGCACCAGATATGCCCACAAATTGAACAACGCCGTTGTCCGATTTTGTCGAACGACACCGCTGGACCGTGAGTGGCCGGCTTTAGAAACAACGCTTAAAGCGACCAACAATTTTAACTAACGCGCGCGAAATTAATATTTTAAATTTAATTTGTATAAATTCGGCAGTGAAAATTCGATATCTGTTATTTGTCGTATCCTATCGATAAAAATCAAAATACGTTTTCAAGATGAAGAGTACAATGTTGTAAGATAAAACAAATGAGACAATTGAAATATGCCGAAGAAACGCTGAACTTTACATTACAAACAATATCACATCGAAGATGACATTGAATGGAATTTGTAGTTGAATCGAGTACTTTTGAAAAACTTACCCTTTTAATCGAAAAAGAAGTTTTAAACGTTTTATATCGTATATATGGTAAAAGTCAACGTTTTTTAGGTATTTTTAAAATGCCTCGTATTTGTTGCAAAAACTCAAAATCGAAATGTTATGCTTTAAATGTTGAAGACTAAAACAATAGAGATATCATATCGCGCATTTATTTATTTCAAGTGCTGCACAATAAAAAAATTTATACGATAGCTGCACTCTTCACCTTTAAAACGTGTTGATTTTTGTCCCTAGGGCACTCTAATCAAAAGATATCGGATGTTTACCGTCGAATTGATACAAATTATATATATATATATATATATTTTTTTTTTTTATTTTTTTTATTAACCCCACATTTATTACAATCTATCTGTACAATCTAAACCTAAATATTTAGGTAGATAATAGACAATAAGTAATAGGACTGACAATAATTTGGAATGACGTGTAGGGAGGCATCCAGTGATGCACCCCTTTTTTTAAAAACTTAGCCTACAACACTGACTATTTCTGACGTAGACTTGTACACATTAATTTAGAACCTATTGTTCACTTAACTCTAACGGAACTTTTCGTTTTAGCCTACGAACAGTACGCGGTTTATTCACTAAACTTTTTGCTAACACGTTTGGGTGCACTTTAAGTTTCTCTTTATGTTTTTTCGCGCACTTTTTGATGTCATCTTTGACATATGATAGTCCGGCATCCCGATGAATGGCTTCATTGGTTATGAACCATGGAACTCCTAGTATTGATCTCAATGTTTTGGACTGGAATCTTTGTATTATTTCAATGTTGGAATGTGCGGCGGTTCCCCATAATTTTATCCCATAAGTCCACACTGGTTTTAGGATGGATTTGTAGATTAATATTTTATTTTCGGTTGATAGTTTTGATTTTTTGCCCAACAGCCAATATATGGTTCTTAACTTATGACCCAGTTGTTTTCGCTTAGTAAATATATGCTTCCTCCAGTTTAATCTTCTGTCCAAGTACATACCTAGATATTTGACTTCATCCCCTTGTGGAATTCCTGTACCGTTTAAGTAAACAGCCGGACATGTTTCCCTACGCGTGGTAAATGTTAGGTGTAGCGATTTGTTTTCATTAATTTTGACTCTCCATTTTGTCATCCATTGTTGGATTTGATTTAGATTATTTTGTAAGATTTCTGAGGCTATTTTGGGATTTTGTTCGACGATATTATTGCCGTATCATCCGCAAATGTAGCTGTAGTTATGTGTGTTTCTGTCGGTAGGTCAGTAGTAAATATAAGGTATAATATAGGTCCTAGTACACTTCCTTGGGCACCCCAGCGAGAATTTGTTGTATGTTTGTGTATTCATTCTCATACTTTACCTGGAAGTTTCTGTTGGTGATATAAGACTTTAAGAGTATATAGTAATTTGTAGGTAAATTTTGTTTTAGTTTACATAATAAGCCTTTATGCCAGACTTTATCAAATGCCTGACTTACGTCCAGAAATACCGCCGAGCAGTACCTATTATTTTCAAAGTCCTCGTTGATTCTCTCTACAATTCTGTGTACCTGTTGTATCGTTGAATGCTGTTTTATAAACCCAAATTGGTGTGGTGGTATTAGTTTTTTGTTTTCTAGTATAGGCATTAGCTTAGTAAGTGTCAGCTTTTCAAAAACTTTGGATACCACTGGAAGAAGACTAATAGGACGGTAGGACTGTACACTTTCTGGTTCTTTTCCTGGTTTTAGGATCATTGTTATTTGTGCTAGTTTCCATTGTGATGGGAAGTGGCCTAATCTCATTATAGAGTTGAATAACTGTGTCAGAAATTGGAAGCCTTTCTCTGGGAGTTGCTGATTCCTTAATGGACTTGAAATATTAAAAATAAATCTGGTGTAGTGATACAAAACAGATTTTATATATTTAAATCAACAAATTATATTTAAAATTGATTTCGTGTGTCGCGTCCATGTCGCGTCAATCGACAAATTAGCGTAAAGCAACCTTAACGTAGGCAACCAACTTTGTTATACTTGGCGTAATGTGTTTTGCCATATACGAGTATTAATGTATTATGTTTTAAATTGTTTATTTAAATTTAAATTTATGATTTTATCACAGTTCCGACATACGCTTTTAAGTATTGAACTTTAAAATATAAATATAGTATTGACAGTGTTATTAAAGACATGCATTGGTTACAATAGGGATCCTGACGTGAAGAAATGCATAAAATCCCAGTCTCTGCAGAATGTCACCCAGGGAAAGATATTAGGAAAGCGTAGTGTTGGAAGGCAGCAAATATCATGGTTACGTAGGTAATCTCAGAGAGTCGTTTAATTGTTCGTCTGATCAGTTTAATAGAACAGCAGTGACCAGAGTTCAAATAATCATGAATTTCGCCAACATTAGACAGGAAAAGATAAATAAGTATTGTCTTTGACAAATTGTGGCTATAAATTTAGTAGAACTGGCAAAATTCTGCCTCAACATTGCTGCTGAAAGATTTTTCTCTTAAGTTTAAGCACAGTGACGATCCCAAAACAAAGAAGTAACTTAAAGCATTGAAACAAACAATTTAAGTTGTTTAAAAATATATTTATAAAATTTAGATTAAAATATTGATTTAAACACAATCGTTGTTTTACTATTTTTTTACTGACCATAGAAAACTATGCCACAAGTTCACGTAAAATACCCCTATTTCTCTCTTCTTTTTTGTAGTAACAAAAGAAAATGTTTAACAACTATATTTTGGTTTATAATTAACTAGAGCACATTTCTAAATTTTTTAACAATTTACATAAACTTTATATATATTATTGTGATGTATATGAAATTAACCTTAAAAGTCTTCTCCTGAAAAGTGTCTTAATTCTGACTTAGCCCCGTCTTTCTTTCTTTCCCTTCATATTGTAAAATTAAATTTTTTTGATAGTAAAATTTTTTAGGTTATTCGGCTCATTCTGAACAAAAAATGTTGTTAGTAACTTTCTCTTTATTGCATTGTTTTCGAGTTACAAACAATTAAATATCTAAAACGCCCTTAAAATAGTCCTTTTTAAGACTCAATAATTCAGTAAAAATTAATATTTCCAGTATAGCAATCTTCAAATTAAACCAAAAACTCCATTTTAATATTAACTTTATAGCAACCCATTGTTTTTGCTAATTTCATACCGGGCAGAGCTTTGAGACCACTATATATAGTGAACGGCAAAGTTATGGAATATTATCATTATTATTATAAAATTTAATACTATTATGTATTAAATTATGATTTAATACAATGATATTCCTTTAAAATATCCACATTATGCATAATAATTATTTTAAATTAAATGTTCGAAATACCATCCATCGGTTTCTTGACAATATCCGAATCTACGGACACATTCATAGTGCATTGCAGCTGATTTCTGGAGTAATTAGACTCATTTCATGCCTCATTCTATCTTTCAAGTCCTGTAAGTTTTGGAGTCTATTGACACCAACTTTTGATTTTATGTGACCCACATTAAAAAGTCTATAGGTGTTAGATCTGGCAACCTTGCTGGCCACTCTATAAAACCTCGTCTTTCAATCCACCTCCTGGCAAAGCAATGATTTAAAAATTAAAAATCCACTAGGAAACTAAGTTCCTGTAGCTGGCTGTATACCATATATCACAAAAATTTATTTCAAATCCTTTATAAAAGGTATATAATAAAATGCCCAAACGGGCTATCACAAATATTTTACAAAACGTTTTCGGATTGTTAAATCCATCATCAGTGTAAACGAGAAATACATGCTATGAGCCACCAAAATATATGGGTCAAAACCCTTTAAATGATATAAATTTACAGTTGCTTTACATTATATGTGGTTACAACTTACGATGTTTAAGTTACCGTTGGAATTGGTAACATGGCGACGTATGACCCTACATAGGTAAAATGGTCCTGAGACGAAGTGTCTTCGAGGACCTGTTGATAACAACTAACAAAGGAGTTTTGATTTATGAAATGTGGATTGTGGATACATAATTCCTGCATAATTTCAGAAAATTGAAGTCGACGATCGGAATCGTCGTCGTTTAATTCTTGAAGTAGTTGAATTTTGTAAGGATGGTATTTCTCTTTTTTTTAATACGTAATATCGTTGGGATCGTTGGGAAACTACAGCATATTCACCCATTTGTTTTGAACTACTTTGAGAATTGTCATGTACATTTAATAAAATATCAAGTTTCACATTGTCTTTAATTTTAGGGCACCCAGCGTTTGGAATATGTTTAACGTGCCCAGTTTAGTACTTTAGTGCAGAATTTGCACGGCTAACAGATACTATTTTGGGCTCAATCTCCTCCCAATGATATCAAGAAATACAAAAATAAAACTTTACAAAATAGTAATACGCCCAGTCCTAGCATATGTTTCAGAAACCTGGATTCTAACAAAAAATAATGAAAACTAAACGATGTTTCGAAAGAAAAGTACTAAGGTGAATCTAGGGAGCAGTGAATGACAATGGGGTGTGGAGAATACGATACAACTTCAAACTTTATATAATATACCAGGAACCTGATATCGTCCTGTCAAGATAGGACATCTGAGATGGAGAGGATATGTAATGCGGATGAAACAAAATGACCCAGCTAGAAAAACGCTTCTTGATAGACCTATTTTCCAGAAAAGAAGAGGAAGACAAGTAGGTTTCTTGATAACATCTATGAAGACATGATAAAGATGGGAATTTGTGCTTAGCGGAGAAAGGCGATGGATAGGGGCCACTGGAGAGAAAATCTTGAGGAGACTAGGACCCACGCAGGGATGTCAAGGCAGAATGATGATGATGATAAAAAAGTTACTAATAATATTTAAAAACAGGGATTATGTTGTTTACTCTGCAATACTTTATTTAAGTTGTTTGTTGACCTCAAATCTCTAAATAAAAGTTTTTAAGTTGTGAGCAAAATAATCCGTTTGACATTGATTGCTTATTTAAACCTTATTTAAGGCGCGTTTTCACGGGTCGATCTGAGTCGAACGATTTGGATCGACTGGCCGTCGACTAATAAATCGAAAGCAAATTGAACATGTAAACCATAAATCGACTTGGTCGTTCGACGGAGTGAGTCGATTCGACGGAAGTCGAAAGACTGTCTACTTTTCATAGGCGATTCCCGCCGAATCGATGTCGAAAAACTGGAATAATAATTTTTTAATAAAATAGATGTTAGAAAATAATTATTTTTGTTTTCCAAAAACAAATTGTCATTAGAACAGGCAATTTTCATATGTGTTTGTTTTTTGTATACATTAGTCCCATATCCACTATTTTACTTTGAGATTAAAACATCCAGAAAAGGAGTTATTTTATTTCTTTTCCATTGTAAATTTTATTGACTCAAGCCTTTACCTTTTATTTATATCAATCAGAAATGTATCCAACACATCATCTACATATTTTCAACATATTGTGGACTTTAAATTTTAATTAGGAATGGTTGTTTTGTCCATCAATCTATTAGCTAATAATGGATTTAAAGCACAGTCCAAAAATTTTGTTTATAGAAATCATTATTTAGATAAAAATAAGTGTTGTCCGTAGATCATGTCAACAGTTTCATTATAGCTGATACATTTAATTTGGTCCTAATTGTTTTCAAAGTTTTATCTAAGAAAATACCATCTTAAGGGTGCATTTATAAATAGACTATTTATTTATGTAAAACTTTACTTCGAAAATATTACATTTACAAATCAATGTACCAAATTATATTAACATTTAAAAAATAGAGATAATTTTAATAACATTTGTGATTTTTTTTGTTTATCAATTACAATTAATTCAACATTCATCGACTGTCGTGTAAACCTTTTTGCTTTCGGCACAGATCGAATGATGGTCGAACGATCCAAATCGTTCGACTCAGATCGACCCGTGAAAACGCGCCTTTACATTAAAAAAAAAATGATAAATCCCTAGATGCGATTCTTTCTATAAAATCTCATACTACACGTATTAACTTTATACACAGTTAAGTTGAGTAAAAATCTAACTTAATTGGCCTATTAACGAAAAATCTGCAAAATGAATCTTTAACTAAGTACGTAGCTAAAAAAATATTAGATTGAAAGAATATAGTTTATTGTGAATACCTATTCAACCGTTAATTATTTTTTTTTATTTCGACTTTAACGTGTTCTGCTACTATGGCCACATACACAGGAACTATAACATGAGTTTTCATTACACAAACAATAAGTGTTACATTAAGAATATGTTACAAAAACACGGAATGATATAAAATTTATAAATAAACTAAATATGATATAACAAATATTTTCATATGATTATAATTACAAAAAATTATAATAATTAGTTGATAGCGCTTTTGACGTGTTTATTAGCTGTGAATAAGATCACGATAAACTCGATGATTTCCAATCACCTATAAGAGTGGCATAAGTAGAAAAAGTTAAGTTAATTGTGGATATGCCAGATGATAGCATAATTTTTTTTTCCAATAAATATATAACTTTTATTATAAATTTTATATAAACGTTCCCGAATATTAAAAAAAATATTATTTACCTTCAATGTTATATTCTTCTTGGAACTTCTTGAACTCCTCAAAAACCCGTTCGTACAAAAATATTTCTCTCTTATAAAGGTCTCTAAAAGGTGTAGAGTCTCTAACCTGTTTATTGGTTTCGGAGGTTTTCAGAATCACGTCCAAACTTTTTTCCTTGTTTTTAATTGTAATGGCAGTAAGGATTCCTAGAAAGTTGTCTCCTTTGTTCGATCCAGAATTAGTTATTATTTCATAATCGGTAAAACCATTTTCACTAGCAACACGGTCCACTAATGCCCTGTGTTCTTTAGCAATCTCCATTTTGACGAATAACTTTAATCAAAACTAAACAATGATGCAGTGAAAACTATGGTATCTATTTATAAATATACGCGAAATCATTTACACCTTTTGTATATTAAGATTAGATAATAATCAGTGAATTACTCACAAATGGTATCATAATATTATTATACGTTTGTGTACATCGGAGTTAAATTTAAAATATACTATAATACTGAGAATGTTGGAACTAAGCCACAATACTTCTATTTAGATGTTTAATTTACTGACGTTTCGATCTCTATTCCAGAGACCGTTTTTAAAGTAAAAAAAAAGGAAATAAAATGTAAGATTATATAAATATTAATATAATATTAAATAAATAAAATAAATATAACTTTAATTTATATCTTTGAAAACGATCTTTGAATATAGAGATTAAAACGTCAGTAAAAACCTGTAAATAAATATATTTTGGCCTATTTCAAACAATATTATTTGAAAAATATAATACAATTAACGTTGAAATAAAAGTGAGTGTACGCCACTGGATTTTCATACGTATTTTCCTACTGCCATCAAACGATGAATCACTCGTTCAAATAATGAAATTATAGTACAAACGTAAACAATTAAATACATTTCAATGAAATATATATAAAAAGTAAAGTTTATGCAAATATAATGTTCCTACTCTTTAAGATATTTAATATAGTACAATATAATTATAGTAATAATAATCTTTTTTATTACCCTGTCTAAAAATGTTCATTCAGTAATCTGCTGCGGCACCGAAATATCTCGCCATACTGAAATAATCCAATATACGTGACCTCAAACACATTACTGAAAGCACTGTTGCCAGCAGATTCAATTAATAAAAATATAGTATGAATAACAGATCTGGGACATCCCATCATCATTATCATAAATTAGTATCAAATATTTTTATCGCAGCGTTGCGCGTTGGTTCGAAAAATTATGTTAGGTTAGTTTAGTAATTTAAATAACAATAAATTATTTGTGAACACTTATACTGTGAACATTAAGATAAAAAATACTAAAAAAAGTAGGCAAAATTATTAAAAAAAAAAAATACAAAAATAAAGAAAAAAGTGCCTCAGTTAGCAAATCAATTATGAAGCGACTCTTCTATAGTGGCATTGTATTACTTATTTCTCTATGGTAAAATGCTAAGACTAGCGTCACGGAACCTAGCGCTACGAGAAGGCGTCACGGGTAGTGCCACGAAATAGCGGTTCTTCACAACGATTTAATACTCGCGATCAATTTGTTTCTTGTCATCATTGTCATTCTTGAAAAAAAAAGCTACATGAAAAATAACTGACAAAATACAAACAATAAATAAAAATTATGGAACTAAAAGAATTGGTATCTGTCAAAAAAAGATTCGCTCCTACCGATTGTCAATATTTAAAAGTCATAAATTGCATTCAATCAATAACAATATTGAACTATCTGTTCAAATTTTTATATTATTATTTTTTAACATCTTATTTAGTTTATATGATAATTAAATATAAGATCAACTGATGTTACATATTTTTATTGTATTATTAATTTAATATTTCGTCTGAATTTGACAGATATGTCAGAAGTAAACAACGTATGCTTTGCTGTTGCCTGCTAATACGTTAGCAGGTGGTGTTAGGAGCAAACATAATAAATTATTAAATTTTTTTTTTTTTTATTGAGTTAATGCCTCGACAACTATGATCATTGGCATGGTACAGTCAGGTACCTAGTGTAGTGTGTGTGTATGTGTAGAGTAATTCTCTTGATACTTAGCAAAGTCGACATCATTGTCTTTGCTAAGAGACGCTAATTGTATCCGAACGTCTGCGGTCTCTCCGGAGACGTTCGGATACAATTAGCGTCTCTTAGCAAAGACAATGATGTCGACTAAATATAATATAATAATAAAAAACAAGTACTGACAAGTGATGATGCCTAACCTCTTCTTAATTGTTGGTCAAACAGTACGAAAAACATAACGGTTGTCCATGCGCTTATAATGAAAAGGCCTTTTGCATTACAGAGGTATCAAGGAGATCTGCAAAATAAGGTATTCTTTATGGCGTCATTTTTAGAGTTATGAGGCTCTGTAGTTGTACTAACTCTGCGAGGTAAGTACGATCGAATCGAAGCTAAGAAGAGCTCAACTTCTGGTGTACGACAATATCCATTTAATTTTCTATCTTTGATATTATTTTTGACGGTACTCTTTTATGTTAATTTTGATATCGGATCTTTAAAATACAACCCTGAATCTTTTTTATTTTAAAGTACCTCCATATGTGTATCTAGGATCAAATACCACTTTTTCATTCGATCTAATACTTTTGTAAAGTGCAATTATAAAAAATATAATTGAAAGGGTTAGAATACAAAGGGTACAAGTACTTTTTTCTTATAAAATGAGATATATGTACTTCTGAAAACTGGATACACTTAATTATTGGAATACATAGGATACAAGTGCACTTTGTAACTCCTAACGCCACCTTTTGGTGAAAAAGTACGTGAATAATTGTAGATATCGTTAGAATACAACGGATGTAAGTATTACTTATACCTTTTATATTCTTACTTAATCAGCGTTAGTTGACTTTAATATACATTACTTTTAGTACAGTATTTTTGTATTATTGTTGTTGTGTTCATTTTTTAATTAGCTAAAGGTAAACTAAAACGTTTCAACTAATAAATATTATTTACTACTGACGAATCATAACAATGGAAAGCTACGAAGGTGAGTTTTTTTTGTTAATTTTAAACTATAGTATTCCACTATTCACATTTTATTTTGCCTAATTTTGAGGTTATGTTTATTTTTGTTTCCAGATCTTTACAAAAGCGATGAAGATGACTCGTACCACACTTCTGGGAGCAGTACTGACAGTGAAAGTGGTTATAGCAATGAACCCAACTCTATAACAAATGATGCAATGTGATCCGTAAGTAGGCTGTCTTTAAAAAAAACTAGAAAACGGCAAAAGCACGAATCCTCATGGAAAATTAAAAAATGACAAAATCTACGAACGCACGGGAAAGAGTATGTGTGCCGTAAAATGAAATTACACAAGGTTAAATGTTTAGTCGCGCATCCACATCAATGTCATTATAAATGTACAGGAAATGTATCTCAAAATGAAAGACAGCAATTATTCAATGCGTTTTATCAACTTCCATCGTACGACTATCAGACAACCTTCTTGTCGTGTAAAAAAGTAAGTGCACAAAACGAAGAATTAAGAGAAAAATAAGCAAGGCGTTTTAGTACACAAATTGTTTTGCTGCAAAAACGACTGTGCAAGCCATATTTCTTAAAAAAAAAACATTTTACATTTAAAACAAAAGATTTACATTTGTATGCAAAATGCCAGTGACCTTGGAATAGTTGACCAGATAAAAGAGGTAAAGGACCGAATAACAGAAAGATCACTGAAAACGACACAAAATTGATTACTAATAACATAAACAAATTTCCGAGAATATTTTGGCGCAAGATGATAATAAGAGGACAGCAACTAACATAAAATGTAAAAATTTTAACACTTTTTACAATTTTCTCCGTGCAAAAGTGTTGTAACTTTAAAATTCTAATACTAAATGTGTAGTGATTAACAATTTTCTCCGTGCAAAAGTGTTGTAACTTTGAAATTTCTAATTTTTCTAGCAGTAATATTATTTTATTTAAATTTCTATTTTTGGTTAATACAATATAGGCTAAAAAGCATGCAAAATCATAATTAAAAGTTAATTTTTCTTAAAGCCTGTGTCTTATTTCACCGATATTAGCACGAAAATAAACATAATCGTCTTTATTTGGAAACTTGCTTATTCTGACTTATTGCAGTCTTGCACTGAGGGTTGCAATATATATAAACAAATTTTTGTTAAGAAACTTTTTCAAAATTAAAATTTCGGAGAAACGTTTATTGGAATAGAACATTTTTTTTATTAATGTTTTTTATAATATGTTAGCAGCATTTTTTTATACAAAACTAATTCTATTTGGTGAGTTAACAAAATTTTTTATTTCTAGTTCAACTTTGTAAGATATTTTGTATTTTTTAACAGCTCTTGATAATAATGTAAACACAATTGAAAGCTCAAGTAAAAAATAGTTAACAAATAGCCCCTTTTATTGACTCCAACCCATCCAAAACAGTTTTATATTTTTTCCAAACGAGTCAAAAGTACTTCTTTTTTCTTATATATATATATATATATATATATATATATATATATATTATATATATATATATATAAACTAATCATCCACGTATATCATACCATAAACCGATAGTTTTCTTTGAAATTCACATAAGATAAGGAAACAGACCACACAGAAAATTACATTTTCTTTCTTAAATTATCGGTAATTCCTGATATTTATATTGTTAACTCAATATTTTGTGGCAGACCACACCACATTGTTATTACCCATGATTTAATTATAATCAATTTACCAGTATATTTCATATTTTCACCAGTCTATCAATTTACTAATAAATTAAATACATTTATAACACACTTAAAAACCATAAAGATCATAGATCAACCTCTAGCTAAATACTTACATAATTATGATGGATATGCTCCCAGATTTTATTGTCTACCTAAAATACATAAACCTACACTGAGCATGAGACCTATTGTGTCATCTATTAATTCACCTAATATTATTATCGCTAAATTCCTAACAGACATATTATCTAAATCATATAATTACAATAATGATTTCAATATTGTTGATTCTTTTAACTTTAGTGAATTTATTAATAATTTTAAACTACCACAAGGCTACATTTTAGTAAGTTTTGATGTGGTGTCTCTCTTCACTAACTTACCTTTGTCCAGCGTTATCACCTCCTTGAAGAATAATTGGAATTCTATCAAACCTAACTGCCCTGTTTCTTGGGATGTATTTGCAGAGCTTTTGCAACTAGTTTTCGATACTAATTTCTTGGTCTTTGATGACAAATTTTATCTTCAAATATTTGGCACACCTATGGGTTCCTCAATCTCTCCCATCCTAGTTAACTTTGTACTGGATGATTTGGTATCTGACCGTTTAGGTCTTCTAGATTTTCAAATTTTTTTTTATTAAGAGGTATGTGGATGATTTATCATTAGCCTTACCACCTGACAAGGTTCAGGGCACCTTATCCTTTTTCAATGAGTTTGATCCTCATTTATAGTTTACTGTTGAACTTGAGGACACTGTCACCAATAGTATTCCCTATTTAGACATGCGTGTCATTAGAATGGGAGATAATACCCTAACCACAAGTTGGTATAGAAAAACGATGGCCTCTAATAGGTTCCTTAACTACCATTCCTGTCATCCTATGAAATATAAGTTAAACCTTATTAAAGCTTTAAGCTGCTGATTAAATAAATTGACACATCCAATTAATCGAAGGGAATCCCGTAAGTTATTAAGAAATATTCTAATTGAGAATTCATATCCTTCTTCTATCATAACTAAATACCTTTACTCACAAAGTTATAGATCCTCGTTTGATGACATACCCAATGGCGACCAACTTAGAACTATATCAAATTATTCAATTAATAGCATTGTTCTGACTGATACTGATCTTGAGAATCCTACCACCCATTATTCATCTTAACTTATTTCCCTCAAGTTACTGAGAAGCTTATTAAACTGTATAAACAGAATAACATACCTGTCAAAATTGCGGTCAAGAATGCTAAGACTGTTAGAAATTTGTTTTCAAAAATTAAAACACCCTTGTCTACTTTGGAACAAGTTAACACCATTTATCACATACCCTGTGCTGAGTGCGATTTATGTTATATTGGTCAGACTGGTAGATCATTAAAAGGTCGTCTCACTACACATAGTAGTGACATTAATTTATCAAAACACACTTGTGCTCTGGCGCAACAGGCGATCAATACCAAACATAAGGTGGATTTCAATGAAGTTAAGATTCTTGGCACTGACCGCAATTTCGTTAAAAGACAGTTTTTGGAAATGTGTTCAATTCTTAAACACCATAATGCTCTAACTAAGAGAACTGACATAAGTAACTTGAGCCAAATATATCATGCTTTAATTTTGCAGAATTAGGCTTTATGATCTATTCACTATATAGTGTCTTGGAAGGTGTACAGTTTAACACATTTGTTTACCAAATAATTTAAAATATAATATATTATATAGAAATAAATCCATAATTAAATAAAATAATTCAATATTTTCGCTTAACTCATACAAACATATGCAACTTACATTGCATGTACTTACACTATTTCTCATACTTGGATTAGTGTGAACTGTTTATTCCTTAAATATTATAATACAAATAATGTAATTGATTCATAGAATCTTCTACAAATTACAGTTCCAAGTGGATGAACCTTGGACTGTGGAAATTATTTTTCGTTGATCACCTGTGGCGGAATATCCAGCCATAATGTTGACGTTTATTATTTATATATGAGGTTGAATGAATTTCGCCTGTTTGTTCGTTCTAGACTGGTTAATGCGAGGAATTGCTGTTATTAATACCAATTTCTTTTATTGGTTGGTCTCTTACAAGCGGGTTGTCATCCAAACTCATTTGAACTTTTTATATACACCGCCCAATTATTTGGGTTGGTATTTCAACCTTGCTGTTCTGTCAAATTTTTGACCTCAAGGTTGGCTGTCTTTTCACGGTTTTGGCTCGGTCTGTTTCAATTAACGCCATTTTCCCGGCGGCAGTTGTGAGGCTTTGAGTGGTAACTTCATTTTACACTACATTTTTTTAAATTTTTATTCAAATCACTTTAATAATGCTACCTAAAGTCAAAATCAAAGCTTAAATAATTTTCAAATAGTTGGAAGTGAATCTATGATATTCTTAGTTCTTTTTCACTGCTTAATATTAAAATAAAATATTACATATACTTTAGACCACATGTTCTGTTGCTGTGCTAATTTTTTAATAAGTTGCTAAATGTTATTAGTTAATTGATTGTTTATACAATATTACCGTATAATGTCCATTTACTTGAGTTTACTCACATATCTGATAATATCATTGACTGCTACATGTCTTTTTAAGGTAACACTTATAACATCTTCTCCTGATGTATTGTGTGGTTCTCATATTGTACTTTTTAGATGAACTGATGATGCTTTCAGAATACGAAAGCGAAACGTCTTCAAAATAGACAAAGTAGCCTATCAACTTTGTCTTTTATTTCTCCACCTTGAGATTACTTAGTCGTCCGGCAGGCACCCTGGTCTCTGAGTACCTTAAGACTCTTCTGTTTTTCTCTGGAGCCACCACTCGCTGAGTAACTTAAATTTGCACTCGCTTTAAATAAAAGAAAATAATACGGTTTTAAGAGTAAAGTAAATTTACCAAGAAATATTTATTTATTCAGAGAAAAACTGTTCTATAATGATCGTATACCAGAGTACTCAAAAGTTAAAAAAAATACAAATAAAACCTTTGAAAACGATAACATTTTATTTAAAATTAAATTAAAATTTAGAAAATATTTATATGTAATTATTATCTCTTAAAAATGAAATAATATATTTTATTCTCCTTGTATATTCGTCCATATTTTTAACACTGAAACTCATGCCCTTTACAAGATCACCATTTTTTTCGGAAATTTCCACAAAATCTGGTGCTTCTTCAGATTCCGAGACCATTATTTTAACAATCATGAAACTCATGTAAAGACCAAATGAAAAGAGAAGTTGTAAGTGTTCCTCTAACAAGGAATATGGAAACAGTTTTTGTGGATCACAACCAAAGTTGAGTAGTTGTGAAGAAAGAGTATCATGGTAAAGTTTAAGATATGTTTTGTAATCATCAAATATTTCTTTTGAACTGTTGACTATAAAGAAATAACTTATATCGTATGCTGGTGTAGAACAGGAAGATAATTGCCAATCCAATATCCGAAGACTGGAGGGGTTTTCAATCTTTTCGGGATCCTAAAACATATAAATTGTACATTTGTTGTATATGCTAAAATTTGGTGTTTTAAAACTGTATAAAAGAACAAGAGTGGCATGGGAAGGATTTGGAAAACTTAGTTGGATACTTAAGAACCGCAAAATACCTCAATATTTTAGGAGTAAAGTGTTCAGCTAGTGCATCCTTCTTATCATGACAAATGGGTGTCAATCCTGGACAATAACAAAGGCAACCAACTATTTTATTAATAATTGATGGATTCGACCGTTACTTGATGGAAATTCATTTTATGTAACAATAAAACACTGAAAACTTTGTTCTCAAACTTCCACAAAATTTTGTGGAATTTTAAATTTGTCATTAAAAGAATGATTATGATCTAGAAGTTGAAGTGCGTATGTCGAATCTATTTTTCTATTCTTGAAAGCCCTTTTATGTCGTGCTATTCGTTTATCAAAGTTTCTACAAGTTTGACCGATGTAAGTTTTTGGGCAGTAGCCACACTGAAGTTTGTACACACCACTATTTAAGTGTTTTTCCTCAAAATCATGAACCCACAGCCTCGTAAATTATATTTTTTCATTAAACTACACAAACCGGATCACCCAATAAGACCTGTAGTTTCTTTTTATACAGCTGAGTCATATAAAATTTCAAAAAAACTGTTAGAGATTATTTTAGACCACACTAAATTTTCACCTAAGTTTACAATAAAAAATACAATAGAACTAGTTAATAAAATACAACATTTTCAATTACCTAACAAGTCCAGATTAATTTCATTTGACGTAAAAAATCTTTTTCCTAGTATCCCTCCTACAGAAACTTTTATTCTAGTAAAAAACCTTTTAGACCAAAATAGTAGAAATCCAATAATTACATCTGAAATTTTACATCTTCTTGACGTTTGCATAAACCAGGACTACTTTGAATTTAATAATAAAATATATAAAAATATCAGTGCAGGACTTATAATGGGTAATCCTCTAAGCCCATTGTTATCAGATATTTTTATGGATCATCTAGAGACAAAGATTTCCAAACATCCCGTATTCAAACAGTTTTTATATTGGTGGAGATACGTAGACGACGTACTGGTATGTTTCACAGGAACTAACAGGTAACTCGACCAATTTTATCATATATTAATTCACTTCATAGTCATATTGAATTTACAATAGAAACAGAACAAAATCAATCCATAAATTTTTTAGATTTAAAAATTAGCAGTCTTCAAAACAAACATGACTTCTCCATATTTCATAAACCTACTCATACTGACACGACTATACACAATTCGTCATCCCATCCAACACAACATAAACTGGCAGCTTATCATAGTATGTTACATAGATTAACAGAAATTCCGATGTCAAAATACAACTTTGAAACAGAATTAAATATAATTAAACAAATAGCATTAAACAACGGATACAACGAACAAACAATTAATAAAATGTTAAATCAAAAACTACACAAGAAAGCCCTGAAATTAGTATTTCCACCACCAGAGAAAAAACCCAGTACCTTCTGCTCGATTACATATACAGGCAAAATAACAACAAAAATTGCCAAACACATAAAAAAGAAAGGAATAACACCAGCTTTCCGAACAAATAACAACCTAGGCAAATATATTAAAAATAACAAGGGCCAAAATAAAAAACACTTAAATAGTGGTGTGTAGAAACTTCAATGTGGCTGACTACACAAAAACATCGGTGAAACTGGTAGAAACTTTGATAAACGAATAGCAGAACATAAAAGGACTTTCAAGAATAGAAAAACAGATTCGACATACGCACTGCACCTTCTAGATCATAATCATTCTTTTAATGACAAATTTAAAATTCTTCACATTCAAAATAAAGGCCTTAAGCTATCTTTGTTAGAATCTATGGAAATCAACAAATTAAAAAACACAGATATAATTCTGAATGACCAACTTGAGACAAACAGTTCTCCCCTCCTCAACCTATTTCATTAGAGACTATAAATTTGTAAACCCAAGCCAAAATAGATCACTTGAGAAAGGCAATCAGCCGAAACAGCTGTAGTGATAATATTTAAAATAAATTTTGTGGAAGTTTGAAAACAAAGTTTTCAGTGTTTTATTGTTACAACTATTTTATTCTACTGTTCTCTTGTTTTTACTCCATATTAATATATTACAAAAAATTTAGGGAGAAAAAGTTTGGAGACCCTCTCTAAACATCTAGAAAAATGGAGTAAAAAATCTTTTCTCTAGTTTTATTGACAATGCCATGCTAACAATATAATTTTTATATAAAAGGTTTAAACCGTTGTGAAGCAATATTAAAAAATTCTGTTTTATTTTGTCTCTTTTCTCTAGCACTTTTGCATAAAATCGACTTATTTTTATCTCTAAAAATTGTGGTATGATTTGTAACCAATCTTTTTGTGACACCCTGTTTATGTGTGTGTATGTATTGTGTCGATGTGCCTAAACAAGCGATTTAAAGAACTCAATTTGCCACATATTGTAGATATTATTAAAATGTTTATATGATTTATTGTAATTATATTGTTTGATTATTCATACAACTATAATAGTCCTGTAAAATCAATAATTTAATTAAAAATTCCGTCTTTGTTTAATCGAAGCCAAAAGAATATTCATTAGCTCTTGATAGAGAACTGAGATAACCTGCAAGTTTAGAGAATATTGATCAAGAGATGATTTGAATTAAATATCCAATTGATTTATGTATCAATTACATAAAGAAATATAAATTTCATTTATGTATTAGAATATATATATATATATATATATATATATATTTATATTTATATTTATATTTAATTATATAGGTATATAATATCGACGAAACAACATACACACCGGAACTCTGGAGTATGAAGAAGCTGACGAAATTAGCAAGAAATGCGGAAGTTAGAGAGGTGGTCAAACGACTTTACTAAACAAAAAAGTTTATAGACCAGAACACATTCCCAACGAGTTATTAAAACGTAAATTATTTAAGGAAATGTAGCCTACGTTGGTACACAATTTTTTCGAGATCTTAACCTCACACCTAAATGGACAGAAGCAACATCTATAGAAAGGGAAGACAGGAAAAATGTCAAAATCACAAAGGCTTAAGCATAATAAACTCACTGTCTAGACTATGGGAAAAAATTATTGAGAATACAACTGAAAAAGAGATTACACAAGTCGAATAATACACAAAATTGCTTTTGAGTGGGAAATGCTCGTGTATTGCCTTGCACATACACACACACACACTTTTATTTTAAAACTTAAATGCTAGTAAAAGTATTTATATTCTAAAAATTGATAGAAAACGACAAAGTTTAGAGATAAACAAACAAGTTAAACAGGTTGAAAACAATTTTATGCAACTCTACTTAGTATTGCTAATAATAATATTATTTACATTAATTATACTAATAATATACTTACTTCATATTTAAATAAAAAGTTATTACACCAGCAATCTCCGTGATTAATAACGAGCTTATATTTTTCTTTCTTTAGTTTTTTAAAAAAAGCATTATTGACTTTACTTTCAACCCTTTTGAGACATTCTGTAAGTTCTGAATCACCTGCTACAACTTCATATCCACTTGCCATCGCTGAGGCTACAAATTCTTTTAATCTTTCTTCATTGTTGAAGGACGGATTGGCTTCAAAAACATTTGCATACACTTTGGCTGTAAGTTTGCTAAACTGTTCGGGACTTTTATCTTTCATAGCCAGAGAAACAGCATGGAATTTCGCATATTCTTTTAAAACAGCTTTTACATGTCCAGGATTCATGGGAAGTTTCTTATTCCAAAGTTTATAGCCTTGTGTTTTTAGGTTCTCCATTAAAAGTCCTTCGTGGCCATCTTCTGAAGAACACAAATATGCTTTAGGTACGCTAGTAAATTGATCTACAATATTGTATTGTTCTTGAAACTTTTTAAACTCCTCAAACACATGTTCATATAAATATATTTCACGTTCATAAGCATCGTGAAGAGGAGCAGCTTTTCTAAAAGCTTCATTTGTATGTGCAGATTTTAAAACTAGTTCCAATGTTTTATCACCACTTTTGATTAAAATTGAACTAATAATTCCCATAAAATTGTCACCTTTAAATGACCCAGCATTTGAAACCACTTGGTAATCACAGAAACCGTTTTGTTTTGCGACCTTGTCAATTATTTTTTTCTGCTGTTCGCTTAATTCCATTGTCACTGTTAAACTCAACGCGATCTACTGATTAAAAAAAATTACTAGATACATATCCCAACATCAACTACAGCCTTGTATCTAATAAAGAATGATGTCTGCGCAGTGGTTTTCAAATATTCATTGCTTCTATACCACGGAATTTCCTACTTATTTATATAACATTTAAACTTCACCTTGCAGTTTGAATTAAAATAGCTAATTTCCAAGTTGCATCACTAAATTGATATCATACGAGCATTATTACACGTTAACATTATATTCAAAGTTATTTTACGGGTAATACACAAAATACTAGTTAAATAAATACAATAAAAATGATTCATAGTTTAAATAGGAGAGATAAAATTGTATTGGATAAATTTTTTTAAAATGACTAATAAATGTAGATATTATTACAATATTTAGAATCACTTATAATCTATCCAATATACTTTTCTATGGATTACGAACTCCGTCTCTGGTAGTGACTGAATGGACTGGGTAGCTCAGTAACTGCCACTGACGGTCACAAGCTTGGATAAAGGAGGAGGGTTACCCGTTTTGTGGAAAACTTTCACGGATAAAACATCCCACGCGTAAAACGACAAAAGCAAAGAAATCTCTTCTCTTCTAAATATATTATTTATTAAAGATAACTTTTCTTTTAATACCACCTTTTACTCTTAACTTTTGGAAACGCCTGTGACTAACATCAGTCTAATTTTAGGTCTGATTATATTAGAGCATTTAATACAATAAGTTTTTACTAAATTAGTCTGCAAACTACCTTTTTTATTCGACAAAAACTGTAATTTACTGTTGAAATAAAGAAGTATAACAGTATACCATTTTTATATAACAAAGTCATCAGCCGATTTAATAATCATATTTTACTAATATTCTTTTTTTAATACTATATACCAAATACAATACTTAATACAATACTAAATACTTTAATACTAAATTTTTATAATATCTTTCTGGGGCTATTTTCTTGTGGCATTTTGAAGTTATTACTATTTAAATGGGAATTAGCCACAATTAAAGGATAAAATAAGTTTATTGACGTTTCAATCTCCACTTCGGAAATCGTTCTAAAAATACAAATTATTAAATAAAACAAGTAGTAAATTAAACAAGTTTTGTTTTGATGACTGACTCATTTATATTGACAATGCAGACATACATTATAAATTTTAAAGTAGACGGCTTTAAAACGATATTGCCAATATTGTTGAGTTGCGTTCCTGGGACGACTTTACTTGTAAGACGTCAGAAAAAATGATAGCATGTAATTCGTTTTTATAAATACAAACACATGCCATGATGAGAGTAAAGTTCTCCTGTTAGTGATTCCATAGTAAATTATGAGGGAAAAACCAGGAAAAAAACCTCATAATCATAATACTATCCCGACGTGGTAAACATTTGGTCGTGCATTTAGTTTACTTTCAAATACCAAATTCTAATTTTATATGTTTGTTATTTAAAAAACATAAATAATGTACACAATATATGTTATATACCTCTTTTAATATGGGTAACCAGATCCTACTATTGCGACACAATTGGTCTCATTTAGCAAAATTAGAGCCGCTTCTCTGATTTTTCTCTTTTTATCATCCGTTTCTTTTAGGACTATATTTAAATCATTCCATTTAACCCTATATTTATTATCCCATGCGTGTTTACATATTTGAGATCTATCAAATTCTCTATTTTTAATATAAGATTGATATTCACTTATTTTAACATTTAATGGCATTGATGTTTCATCTAAATAAAACTAATCGCATTCACAAGGTATTTAATAAAGACAATTCTTTGTCCTTTCTTGTTCATTGTTAGGTTTGGTTTTAGACAAAATAGATCTCAATGTGTTTTTTGTTTTGAATGTTTATTGTTTATGTTTATTGAAAGTAAACTAAATGCACGACAAAATACTTACCATGTCTGGATAGTATTATGAGGTTTTTATTTCCTGGTTTTTCCTTCATAGGATCAAGATATGAGAAATATGGAAATACGTGCTTGGCGGAGGAAGACGATGAATAGGGAGGACTGGAAAAAAATTCTTGTGAGGGCTAGGACCCACACAGGGTTGTAAAGCCAAAATTATGATGATGATTTTCCCTTATAATTTAATATGGAATCACTAACAGGAGAATTTTACTGTCATCATGGCATGCGTTTGTCTTTTTAAAGACGAATTACATGCTATAATTTTTTCTGGCGGATATTTTCAAGTTAAAGTTGATTTCATGTAATCGAATGAACTATCTTACAAGTAAAGTCATCCTAGGAACGCAACTCAACAATATTGGCAATATTCGTTTAAAGTCGTCTACTTTAAAATGTATAATATATTTCTGAATTGTCAATATAAATGAGTGAGATAAAATTAAATTATTAGAAGAATTTTTCACTAAGTAGCAAAAAAACAAAATTTGTTTAATTTACTAATGTTTGTATTTTGAGAACGATTTCCGATGTGGAAATTGAAACGTCTATAAACTTACTTTTATTGTGGCTGGTTGTTCCTTCCTTCAAGAGCAGCTTGTACTAAATCTGCATTGTTTTGCGAATTCTTCTTGTCTATATAGACAACAAAAAAACTCATTGTCTCCAAGTCAGAGATGTAGTGCTTTTAAGTCTCCTTTTTTAAAATTTAATATCTGTTTCGTTCTTTTTAAGTGTGTTCTGTTTGTCCCTAAGTGTCCTTAATTGTTTTAGTTTTAATAATTTTACATACTGGACTTTGTCAATTATTTGCCATATAATAGTAAGTCAATTAAACTTTATCAAAGAAATTTGATAATTACAATTTGAAGAAATTTGCACACCCACACAAATAAAATAAAATCTCAGTAAATAACATACATTTCATAAATATATCTTTTGAATGAATATAAATAACTTTTAAAGAATTAAATAATATAGAACGTAACTCTCATTTAACAAACACTCACATTGCACCTATTTTCTACTTCATTGGATAAAATCTATCTCCTCAAGAATCTTCCCCGTTTATTGTCAAACAATTACAATAGTAAAAACTGAAGTTCTTCATTCAGCAATACATGATAGTTTAAACTATGTTCTTTCAACCATTAATTAATAGAGTACCTGCATCATTTAATTAACTTTGTATCGACAGACCTGAAGATGCTTTGCATATTGTAGAAACCGAAGCCGGTCGTCTAGACAGTTAAATTAAACTGATTGTGAGTAAGTCTAATTTCTTTTATGTATTTGAAATGGATTCACACAAACAACATATTTATGATTTAAATATATTTTAAATTTATTAATAATACAGTGTTTAAGATTTTGCACAAAAGCAACATGTCCCCTTACAAACCCTATTAGTTTAGCACCAAAAATACATATTATGTATCAAAATTTTACAAAAAGTACATAAATGTCAATGTAAGATTTCGGTTTATTTTTCTCAAAAAGGACCTTGAATGGAAATTAACCTACACATTTAAACAAATGCACATTGTTCTAGAATATCATATCATATCATAATAATATCGTTAAAATTTACAATTCCTTCATAGAAATTAGGTTTCTTCTATTTTATGTTAAACATTAAAAATATTGATGTGTTATATTGTAAATAAGTCTTTAATTAAAAACAATGGAAACTAAATGTTTAAACCTCAACTTTTCAACCCCATAAATAATAATTTACATATGAGTTTTTAGGCCTCGAAAATGCGTATTGTCGCATTTGTCAGGTTTTTAATCACTTATAATAATGGAGTCCCACAAGGTTCAGTACTCAGTACAACACTGTTCATTCTTGCAATAAATAATATTTGTGCCAGTATTTGTCCACCAGTCAAGCACTTAATATACGCAGATGACCTTATTTTATATTGTCAGGGAAAAAGTAAAATTGTCACATGCAACGTGCTCCAAACCGCTGTAAATCAACTTAGCGAATGGTCCAAAAAAATCGGATTAGCTCTTTTAACAACTAAATCGATCCAAAGCCAAAGTCCAATTATCACCCTTAATGGAACTCCATTGCAACTAATTACTTATCATAAAGTACTTGGTTTAAAGTTTGACAGTAGGCTAATTTGGAAACACCATATTAGTGTATTAAAAGGCAATGCATTGATACTCAATATCACTATCAAAGTACACATGGGGTGCAGAGAAACCATCTTACTTAATATTTATATATATATATATATATATATATATATATATATATATATATGTATATATATATATATATATATATATATATATATATATATATATATAGAGCTTTAATCAGCTCAAAACTGGACAACGGCAGCTTCATATACATGTCTGCATCAAAATCTGACTTAAAGCTACTGAACTCTGTGCATAACACTTCTATTCGTCTTTGCTTAGACGCTTTCAAATCTAGTTCCATAGATAGCCTTTACTGCGAGGCTAATGAACTACCTCTCTGGATTCAACGATAGTATCTTCTTCAATCTTACTTTACTTCCGCATCCGCAAACCGATACAATCCAGTCTACCATTTAACTACTTCAACATTGCCTAAGGAGACCCCGCAAAAGATCCAATCAATAATAGATATCCAGAAATTAACTCTAAGAAAAACCATAGACCTTACTAAAACATATCCCTTCCCAATTCTGGATACTCCGCCTTAGAATAGATCAATCGCACATTCAATAACTTTTCTATTAGAATACAGTAAACATGAAACCTCAAGCCTTTTCATAAGGCAACACTTCAAAGAAATCATAAGCAAGAACCAATTCCAAAAAATTTCTTTAAACAGATGCCTCCAAAAGCAAAGCAAGCGTTGAATATGCCGTTAACACATATAATGAAACAATAAAATCATCTTTTTTACTGAATTTATGCAGCGTATACACTGGAGAACTTTATGCGATACTAGAAGATTTTAAAAAACTAAAAACCTGTTGTCACTACAATCGATAAAAAGTCTATACTCTCAGCATCCCTTAGTTCAAGAAATCCATAGGACTTACAGTGCACTCGCTTTTCAAGGTATACATGTCATGATCATGTTGCTACCATCCAATATCGGCATCTCCAGTGATGAAATAGCAGACCAAGCAGCCAAGCAAGCTTCTTGTGTAAAAAGTCAATCCTCAAAAGCCCAACATATTTAAATCTGTAATGACCTAAAGCAAACTTTCAAGAAACAACAGTATCATACCTGGCAAACCCACTGGAACACATTCAAGAGTGGATTACATGAGATCCGGTAGACTGTTGAAAAATTTGAACTTCTAACAATCTCTAGAAATGAAAAATCTGTCGATTCACACATGAATACTTAATTAAGTCCGAGCCGAAGCCCAATTGTCAAATCTGCTTAAGTGTATTAACTGTGAAGCACATCCTGATCGAGTGTCCCCGGTACGCCAAACACAGAATGCAACATAAACTTACGTCAAATTTCACAGACGTTTTAAACTCACCCGATCAAGTCTTTAGCTTAATTGGTTTCTTGAAAGACATTCAGTTGTTCTACAGAATATGACCTCTTGTTTTCCATGTACTTTATCTTTTACTTATAACAAAGTAATAAAACTGTAGTATTATTAAGTTATAGGTTCTAAGCTTATAGATTAACTATAGTAAGTAGTAACATGTGCTTGTTGTAATTATTGTACACAATATTGTTTGTGTCAATGGTTATTGCAGCCGAGATACATTAATTTAATTAAAAAAAATTCGCTTATAATTCGAAAAGTGTTCATTTTGGAGAAAATGACAGGAGACATCTTTTTCGTTTAAAATTGCACAAAAATTAAAAAAAATGTTTTCCGGAGCAAAAAAAGGTGATTTTTGGAATTTGTATAAAACCATTGTTTAAACAATTTCTTCTTAAACAATTCGCCCAGCCTCTTCAGATTTGTTTAAAGAGTATATTTTTATCAAGAATTCGCAAAGAAACCGAAACAAAAATATTTTTCCACGAGAGCGGCATCACAACATAGACTAAACTTATTGAATAATATACATTACAAGCTAATTATTAGGAGGAAATAAAACGTCTATGATCAAAAAATAACCAATTTTATTAAAAATAACCAATTTATTTAAAACTTAGACCACTTTATTTATACATAGTTATTATCTTTCAAAAATAGAATAATATCTTTTATTCTCCTTTGATATTCAGCCATATTTTTAACACTAAAATTCATGCCGTTTATAAGATCGCCATCTTTTTCTGAAATTTCTGCAAGATCTGGAGCTTCGTCGGATTCAGAAACCATTACTTTAACGATCATGAAACTCATGTAGAGACCAAACGGTAATAGAGTTTTTAAATGATCTTCTAACATTGAATACGAAAAAATCTTTTGTGGATCACAACCAAAATTCTGGAGTTGTGTAGACAGAGTATCATGATATAACTTCATATATGTTTTGTAATCATTAAATACTTCCTTGGGACTGTTAACTAGGAAAAAGTAACTTAGATCATATGCTGGAGACGTAACTGAAGATATTTGCCAGTCAATTATGCGAAGACTTGAAGGTTTTTCAATATTTTCAGGATCCTAAAACATATAAATTTGGAGAATGTTAAATACAAAATAAAGTCTTGAGTCAATATAATTCAAGTATATGCTTCCACTGCAGAAAAGTCGGATGAAGAGCTCGAACAGTTTTATAATGAATTACAACTAGCTTTAGAAGTAACCAAGTCTAGAAACGTTACAATAGTCATGGGAAATCGAAATCCAAAAATTGGTAGAGGAAGTCAAGGTGATTTTATTGGAAACTTTGGACTGGGAACCCGTAACGAGAGAGGAGACAGATTGGCTCAATTCTGCCAAGAGACCGATTTTATTGTCGCGAATACTTTTTATGATCTGCCACCCAGGAGACTCTATACATGGAAATCTCCAGCAGACAACCAACATAACGTCATCAGAAACACAATTGACTACCTTCTCATCTAAAAACGATACCGAAATTCCATAAAATCAGTAAAATCATACCCCGGAGCTGATGTAAGATCAGATCCCAACCCAGTGGTAGGAAGGTTTAGAATTAATCTAAAAAAGCTTGTGGCTAAAACTAAAGTCGAGAGGATATAAGTATTCCGTTTGAAAGATCCATTAATAAAAGAGCAAGTCACACTAAAAATTAAAGAAGAGCTCACCAAAATAGAAATTATTTCTACTGAAGATGCGAACAGGAAACGGCATATATTAAAAGATGCTCTTATACGCACATGTGAGACAAAACTAACACCAAAGCTGATCAAGAACAAAAATGAATGGATGACTGATGAGATTCTGGATCTCGTGGAAGCAAGAAGATCCTATAAAACCAAAGTCAAAAACATGTATAATATTATACACACAGAAATAGGGAGAAAGATCAGATATGCAAAGGAAAGATGGTATAGTGACAGATGCGAAGAGACTGAACAGTTGGTAGAAAAACATGATAACTTAAACCTTCATAAAAAATTAGGGAAATAACAGGCACTCATATTAGCAAAACATCAAACATACTGCTGGATAAAAACGGCAAAATAATTAAAGACGTCGGTGAAAGGCTTAAAAGATGGCAGGAATATATTCAAAAGCTATTTAAAGACGAACGGACTGAGATAGTACTAAAGCAGGAAAAGTTCGACAATGGTCCAGACATAACAGAAGATGATGTATTAGAGGCGATAAAGCAAACAAATAATAATAAGGCAACAGGTCCTGACGAAATACCTGTAGACATAATACGGTTAATAGAAGAACAGCAAATTGGAATATTGGTCGACTTATTTAATACAATATACAGTACAGAAATCATTCCCAGAGATTGGCTGATATCAACATTCATAACACTACCAATAAAACCAAATGCAAAAAAATGCCAAGACCACCGGATAGTAAGTTTAATGAGCCATACGCTCAAAATATTTTTAAAAATTATACACCGGAGAACACACAACAAACTTGAGAAGGACATACTATAGATAGATAGATAGATAGGTTTATTGACAATTTTTACATAGTAAACACTATATGTCATGTCACAATAAAAATAATTTACTTTTGTATACTAAGAACTAAGAAATAATACAACATATAATAAAACATATACAGTGAAAATTAGATATATAAAATTATAACAAATAAGAAAGAAACATTTCAGTAAGGCGTAATATAGTTTTCATTAAAAACGACCACACTAGGAGCTCAAACAAACAAATTCCTGTATACTATAGAAACAGTGTTCCAGCAGGAAGTGTTTTGCTAGTTTATAAAATTGTTTAGAATTCATTGCCTTAATATCAATATTTTTGTTTAAGTTTAAAAAACAATTATACAGATTATAATCTATTGTATTAAGTTGTGTAACACACAATCTGGAATATGGTATAATGATATGACTTTTATTTCTTGTATTGTAATGATGTTGATCAGCATGTGATTTTACATCTTTTATATTATTATGAATAGTTAACAAAGTTTCAAATATTTGTATCCATAGTAACACCTAGTAACTTTACTGGTTCAGATGGTGTAACCCATCTATCAGAACTAAATACGATTGTCTGGGTTTTCTGCTCGTTTAACTTAAGTTTGTTACAGTTAAACCAGGATTTAGATTTTTCTAATATATCCTGACTGTAATCAGTTTTACCTCTACATAATAAGGTTGTATCATCTGCAAAAAGAATACAGTTGGTGTTATCCAATGCACTTGGTAAATCATTTATATATATCAAGAATAGTAGAGGACCCAAAACTGATCCTTGTGGTACTCCGGTTGAAACTGGTAAAGGATCAGATTCTTGATTATTAAATGCAACAATCTGTGTTCTTCCTGTAAGATAGGTTTTTAAAAGGTCTTGTATGGTGCCCCTTATTCCATAGTACTCCAATTTTATCAATAGTGTTTGAATATCTACACAATCAAAAGCTTTTGTAAGGTCACACATTACGCCATTAGTAGGTTCACCTGCATCAAAACCGTGGACAATATGTTATATTACTTCTAATAAAGCTTTAGTTGTTGAGTATTTTTTTCTAAAACCAAATTGAGAGCTAGATATAATTGATTTGTTATCCAAATAATTTGATATACGATCTTTAATTAAGATTTCAAAAATTTTACTTATAGTGGGTACTATGGTAATAGGTCTGTAATTGTCAGGAGCATTTTTATTTCTTTTTTTATGAAGTGGAATTACTTTTGATATTCGATATGCTGGGTTCTGATCGGCCTATGGTGGAGCAGTACGGCAAGAGATAAGGGCTTGCGGCTCGGTGATACTCCTCCATAGATCCCTACCGGACGGGCGTAACGCCTAAAAACCGGATATATATATATATATATATATATATATATATATATATATATATATATATATATACTTTTGATATTTTGAATACATCAGGCCAGTAACCCTCGTTAATGCATTTGTTAAATATTATTGTGAGTGGTTCAACAATTGTATCAAGCGATTCCTTAATAATTTTACTGTTAAAACCATAGTAGTCAACACATGAGGAATTTTTTAATTTGTATATGCATTCTTTCACATCAGATGCTACTATTGGAGACATAAAGAACGAACTTGACCTTCTAGGTAGCCTGCTAAGATAGTAGTTTATGTCATGCTTAGAGTCTCCTATTGATTTCGATATAATATCTGCTATATTCGTAAAGTATTGGTTAATTTCTTCTGGTGTTAAGTTCAGATTAGACGTAGTATGTTCCTTATAGGTTTCTTTTTTAACAATACTCCATATTGTCTTACTTTTGTTGGTGGATTTGTTAATTATGTTAGCATAAGCAATACGTTTTTCAGCTTTTATTTCTTGCTTATATTTTTTTCGTATTTGACAATATTTAATCCAATTGTCAATAGTATGTGTTTTTCTATAAGTTGCTTTACAATCGTAGAGTTGTTTTCTTAAATCTCGAAGTTTCTGATTAAACCAATGAATAGCACTTTTTCTGCTATTCACGTTTTTTAAAGGAAAACAAATGTTGTATTCTTCACACATATATTTCATAAACAACTCTGTATGTTGTTTGAATTACATAAGTGACACACAGTTTGGATTTAGAAATGCACTGGGAACGAGGGAAGCCCTGTTCGCTGTGAATGTACAAAGTGTGCTGTGTGCTGTCTGCAAATGTGGATGGATGTTAATCAGCTAGTATATATGTGTTTCTTGGAATACAACAAAGCCTTCGATAAGGTCAGACATAACCGTCTTATCAAATTACTTGAAAAGTAAAATTTAGATATGATAGACATCAGGATCATTAGCGCTATCTATTATAATCAGATCGCTGTGGTAAAAGAGAACAAAGTCTTTACAAATGAAATACAAATTGAGACGGATGTGAGGCAGGGCTGTGTCCTGTCTCCTACTTTGTTTAATTTGGATTCAGAGGAAATAATCCCGGAAGCACTAGAAGAACTAACTATGGAAATAAAAGTAAATGGCCGACCAATCAATAATATACGGTTTGCCGACGACAGTATTTTATTAGCGGAATGTCTTGTGGATTTACAACAAATGGTTGACAGAGTGGTAGAAGTCAGTGAAGGAAACGGACTGTCAATATACACAAAAAAGACACAATTTATGGTAATTACAAAAGCCCAACAGCGCCAAGAAATCATAACAATACATGGACAACAAATTAAAAAGTTGAAAAATATGATAGACATAAAAGAAGAAGAAGAGAAATATAGATAGATGAATAGACAGTAAGCGAGGGCCAGGCAGGAGAAGACACTCGTGGCTCCAAAATCTGCGGAAGTGGTTCGGGCTCACATCGGTCGAACTATTCAGAAGCGCCGCAAACAAGATCAAAATTGCCATGTTAATAGCCAACGTTCGCAACGGACAGGGCACTTGAAGAAGAAGAAGAAGAAAAATATGAATATCTGGGTACAATAATTAATGAAAATAATGAGTACACAAAAGAGATTAAGACAAGAATAGGACAGACAAGAAATTCTTTCAACAAATTGAAAAAAGTATTCTGCAGCAGGGACATTTCAATTTCTTTGAAGATAAGACTTCTGAGATGCTACGTGTTCTCCGTATTATTTTATGGGTTGGAGGCTTGGACTTTAAAGAAAGATGTTTCGGACAAACTGGAAGCCTTCGAGTTCTGGGCCTACAGAGAGATATTAAGAATAAGTTGGGTAGATAGAGTCACGAATGTCGAGGTGTTGAGAAGAATGGGTAAAGATAAAGGGGTCTTAAATACAATTAAAGTCAGAAAACTTCAATATCTGGGACACGTTATAAGGGGCGAGCGTTATAAATTGTTGCAATTAATAATGCAAGGAAGAATACAGGATAGAAGGAGTCGCAAAAGAATACGCATCTCCTGGTTAAATAATTTGAGAGCTTGGTTTAACTATACTTCTGCTGACCTCTTTAGAGCAGCCGTGTCGAAAGTCCGAATTGCCATGATGGTTTGCCAACCTTCTTAGAGGAGATGGCACGTGAAGAAGAAGAAATACAAAATATCGAGCCACAAGCGATTTTATAAAATGATGATGATTGCAAAT